GGAGTTAAAAACCCTCGACGAACAACCTTATATTTTTCGATGACAATCTCTCGTTCAATTAGGTGCGCGCGTAGTCGAACGATTAAACGAAACCGAACCGAAGCCCGCGACGACGGTACTCGCCCGAGTGTACCGGGTGAGCGATAAAATTTAATCAAAAGTTTAATCCGTTCGAAGGTGCGTAAAAGGGGGAAAGGACCATTAAGAAAAGGAACTAAAAAAATAAATAAATAAAGAAAATAGTTAACGGTCAACAAGACAATGCAAAGGAGCTGTGGTAGAACGAGGGGTATAGGAAATGGGAAATCGAAAAAAAAAAATAAAATAAAATAAAATCTAAAGAAAATATATTAATAATGAATAACGTTAATAATAAATAAATAACAATAATAATAACGAAGAAACTCAATCATATCACCGTAGTTGCCTAAACTAGCCACTAGTAGATTATTCTCGTCTTACCGTATGACTTTGACTGTTGTATCGAGATCATCCGCGAGAGAGAGAGAGAGAGAGAGAGAGAGAGAGAGAGAGAGAGAGAGAGAGAGAGAGAGAAAGTGTTAATCAGTTCATTTTTTTTTTTCAAATATTTTTCGCGCGAACCGTCTAATCGACGCACCCGTAGATCGGTGGGCGTTACGTTGAAATGGTCGGGCGAAAAAAAAAAAAATAAAGATATATATATATATACATTTATACTATGTACTACCGCACATGTACATTGATATACTCGCGCTACTGAAGCAACATTATTGATAAATTGTATCGATGCCTAAAGGCGTCGGCCCATCACTACTGTACCGCTAACTATTACTGTACTTAATACTTCTACTATTACTACTACTGCTACTAATACGAAATCTGATAAAACTTACTAGTAGCGATTACGATGTAGATATAAAGGTGCTGTTGAACGAATAAATTGATTGCGTTGTAATGATAACGTCGACGCCCGTCTTCGCCGTCGGGAACGATAGACTAGGATAGAGATACCAAAGGTTTACTACGAGTTAGACGGTACCAGGGCGTGTTTGACTCTCGACGCGACGACTGAGGGGGAGAGGCAAAGGAAGAAGCAACAATAGCGTAGCGGAACGAAGAAAAAAAAATACAATAAGGGGCATACCGAGGAGTAATATAAAAAAAAAAAAAAAAAAAAAAAAAAAAAAAAAAAAAAAAAAAAATTAAACGATCATACAGGGTTTCTCGTACTGAGATATAGAGAACGAGAATGGGGGAAAAGAAAGGGAAAAGGCCAAAAGTGGTAGGTGACGAACGAAGATTTAAAAAAAGTTCCGATCCGTCGATCGGGACTGTCCTTTGCTACAGATATCGCGTCGTTCGTAAGATCGTTCGAGAACAAAGGCGGTTTCTAACCTCCAAAGGTAAAAAAGCACTTTGCAAGTGTCCTTCCAGTAATAGAGGCGACTGCAGCGCTCTTCTGTTTCGTCTTTTAAACGGCACTGGCTATGTATATATATATATATATAGCTGTAATGGGCCATTTTTACTAAACGCGAATGTTTTCTCGCGTCTAATCGATCTCGAACGCCTCTAGCGGCGGTCGATGGTACTTCGATGACACTTAAATCATGGGACGAGGTATATTTCATATACGTATGTGGTACTGAGGGTGTTACGCGTAAAAGGGGTCGCGGAGGGAACGCAGAAATTTCTACACTGTGGATTTGAAAAGATAATAGTACGTTACGTAACTTCTTTTACCCAGTGACCTTGCATCCTTAATTGATGTGTTTTTTTTAAACAAATACTGCATCGAATTTTTATGCAAATTTAACTTGTACGGTCTGTCCGAATTGGAGCTCTTTTTTTTATTTATTTTTTTATTTATTTACTGGTTTGATCAGTTGTGTCGTACTCGTAATTCGAGGACGATGGTACCCTGCTTACGTGCGACACCCTGTATAATGGAGAAACACGTGCGTCAACGCTAAACAACGTTATTCCGAAGAACCGAGGAAACGCGCCGATCCTCGAGAATCTTGTATATTTACCACGAAATCCTATCTCTGTACCGGTAAGGTGCGGGCCGAAGGTGTCTGTCAAATTTGACAGCTGTCATGCGATCGTTTGAGTAGAAACTACTTGGCAATAATTGTGACAGTTCAGAGTTTGGTGGGGGGAAAAAAAAAACATGCACACTGCGAATCTCAAATTTAAGCGACTGGGCACGTGTCAGAGGTGCAACAAGATTTTCCAAAATTTCAATATATAGAGTCTGCAATTTTTCGCTCCATCCCCGTAAAAATATTTTTACGCAGACAGCTAGCTTTCGCGATTTTTGACGATAGCACACTGAAAGATAAAAATTGCATTACAGTTGCGCAAAGATATACGGACACGTTTGACCCGCGCACAGTAGCTGCGTATTATAAATATACATTTACATACGATCATTATACCATTATTAATATTACTAAAATTCCTAAATATTGAAAACATAGTCTAGAAGAAAAAAGTCAAATATAACACGCCTATTATTCTATCGAACCGTATAGATTTCATTGGACCTTTTACCTAACCACCCATTTCACTGAGTTAGGGGACTATTGAGAGATACAATGCTCAGATTTCACGCCTTTTGTATCCGGAACTGGTACTCCATTTTTTTGTTTTCCGTATACAAACAACTAATCTCCCGTTTGTGCGAGTGATAATATTACTCGTTGCTTGCATTATGTAACGTATGACGCACGTCAGGCTGATTGTAAAATATGTAGTTGTCGATATTCCTGCAAATTAAGTTCTTTCTCAGCCGAAATACGAAGCCCTCGACAGAGATGAGTAGGGAGACGCACAGCTACGGATTTAGGCGATATCAAAAACATGGCGCTGGAATCGCAGCGGCGAGTCCCGAAGTAAAATTTTGTGATTGCCTCCGTCGATAATG